CTACTGCAGCATAAAATTATTTGCATTCTTGAGTAAAAACTGCATTTAAAAGAAATACGCAGCGAGACTACTGGATTTTGTATGGATTTTTTTTCACCACTCCGTAATGTAACAAAAATTTTAGATAGGGACTTTCTATATTAAGCTAACGGTATACTCCTTCCTAAAAAATCTGGAGAATTTTTATGTCGCATAACAACGACTTTACCCAACCGAGGCCACTACTGATTCCACAACTACAAAAACAAAATGGTAAAAATATAAACATAAAAAATTATAATTTCTAAGGCCACTTACCAAATGCATTTGGTTTGACTTGTTTGTAATTCTTGATCTTAATCAACTAAATATATGCTATTGATTGATGGATTATATTTTTACTGGTAATAGTTCTCGCCAACCTTGCTCAGTTGATTGGTGTTGTCCGTTTTTTTTTATATTTTTTTTCAGGGACACTCAGCAACTTTTGCTAACAACTTATGTATGTACTTTTATTTTCGTTATAACCCTTAATACTTCATTAAACTATTGACTTTTCCTTCACAAAATGTTCTGAGCGATTGAGATGCACAAAGAGCACTGCGGCGGCCAAGCGAGCTTGTAACTCTTGTTGGCTCAAATCATGCGCCCATTCGACGCGACCCCAAAACTTTAATTGATATTCCTCCTCCAAACGTGCCAAAGAAACAGCTTTGTCAACGCTTATGCGCTGATCAATTGCAGCGAACGCTAGCACAACAGATTTCAAAGTGTCCACAGCGAATATAAAACCTAGGAGGGATAAGCAAATACATCAAATAATAATCGTAGAATATGCCAACACACATAAACGCTTCAATTCTACACTTACCAAAGAGCACATCTTCACTGTGCGATAGCAAATATTTGGATACGTTCATTTTATCATCAGCACTTATGGAAGGCGGCGATATTACCATTGTTTTTTCCAAGTTTGTGCCATAGCGCTCATTGAACCATTTTATTATGGGGTCCCATTCGTTGCGCTGCAAGTCATGTAAGTCCTTTTCATCCTGAAAGTTAAAGGCGGAATTTAACTTAATTAAAATGCAATGCAGTAATCGCTTTCTACTCACATCATATTGAAATAGTACTGTGTCAGTTGCGATGTAGTTCAGCAAATAATTCACCATATCCGTTTTTGTGTGTCTATTAGGATTATCGATAGCGGTGAAGCACAACGCCGACAAGTGCATTTTCGAACGTTCAATATGCTCCTTTTGTGCATCGAATTCTGTAGCTACAGCTATCGCTAGCGGTTCGCTTTTAACTGTGAATAATTTACCATTTGGGGTCTTTAACTTCCGGTTATCCAGAGTTACCTCGTACTTCCCGTCATTGTAGAGTACTGAAGTTTGTTTGTAGAAGCGCTTTAATGGCGCGGCTGTAGGAAATGGAGAAAATTTAATAACCCAAGCAGGAAACGCCATCTTGAAAATGTTACAATTACCGTAACACCTTTTCGTCACTTGCTGCGATGCACTTAAAAATGTAGCTAGTGGTCTTTGCAGTGCTCTAAAGAGATTACTCATTTTATTTGTTTAACTTTTATTTGATGATATTTATTAAGTTAAAGTTACGAAATAAACGCCGCGCCAGTACATGTGAACTACACCAAATTAAAAGAAGTAAACAAATCAGCTGCTTCATGAGTAGCCAGACTACAGGGTTGCACTCATGTAATGCCTTCGAAAAGACAAAGGGAAATTTCACTGCAGTTATATATTTGCGTGATGGAAATTGCAGTTCTTAATATGCCTGTAGATATAATTTTATTTAAATATCTTTGAAATTGGGTATTGAAAAAGCTTTAGACAACAATTATGATAAATTAATTAGCAACTTAACCAGAAGCTCGGTTAAACTTGGAATTGATACCACGGCAGTCCGGCTACATTAATTATGAATAGTCCCTACTTGGTTCAATTGCAGCCAACATGCTTTGGGATATTTTGAATGAAAAAATAGTGCTTGGTTAGTGGACGATATACTGGAAATTCGTGGAAAAAACGCTGTAAAAATTGTTATTTTTACGTAAAAAACATAAAATAAGCTAGCGAAGATGAGCGTGGAAGAAGAAGTTTTTAAAATACAAAAGAAAATGCAGAAGATAACTTCAAATGATGGTACGGTAAGTAGAAAATAAGGTGCTCGTATGTGTGTTGGCGCTATGCGGCAACCGTCGCCCGGGTATGTGCTCGCCTACAAACATATCGCTGCTGAGGAGCGCCTGATAGTGAAAAGCGCGCGATGCTACTCAAAAATACTTAATTGTATTTAAAAGCACTTTACATGAGATTTATTATCATTATTTTACCCTCTTTCCAGGGGCAAGACCAAGCGCTAGATTTGCTGAAAGCATTGCAGACACTCAACATAAATTTGGAGATATTAACCAAGACACGCATTGGTATGACTGTTAATGAACTGCGCAAGAGCAGCAAAGATGAGGAGGTTATCGCTTTGGCTAAAACGCTTATCAAAAATTGGAAACGATTTTTGCCCCCAAGCGGTTCAAGTGGCAGCTCTTCGAAAGATGCGGCCGGTAGTAATAGTGCTTCTAAATCATCTTCAGCCAGCAAATCTAGCTCATCGTCATCAAGCAAAGACAAGGAGAAGAGTTCATCGTCTTCAAGCTCCTCAAAAGATAAAAAACGTGATGAAGAAAAGAAATCTAATTCGAGCGCATCATCCTCTTCGGCAAAGGATGAACGCCGGCCAGTGCAGTCGACGTTCCCCAGTACTGGCGGCTTGACCGATGCAGTGCGCCTTAAATGTCGTGAAATGCTATGTAATGCGCTTAAGGTTGGTGAGCCCATCGAAGGTTGTCCGGAGCCAGAAGACATGGCTACTGAATTGGAAGACGCAATTTACATGGAATTCAAGAATACTGATATGAAATATAAAAATCGTGTGCGTTCGCGTGTAGCCAACTTAAAGGACGCAAAGAATCCAACGCTACGCAGCAATTTCATGTGTGGTGCCGTAACAGCACAGCAATTGGCGCGTATGTCGCCTGAAGAAATGGCTAGTGATGAAATGAAAAAATTGCGCGAGAAATTTGTGAAGGAAGCTATAAATGACGCTCAACTGGCCACAGTACAGGGCACTAAAACCGATCTACTTAAATGTGGCAAGTGTAAGAAGCGTAACTGCACATACAATCAGTTACAAACTCGCTCCTCTGATGAACCTATGACGACATTCGTCATGTGCAACGAATGCGGCAATCGCTGGAAGTTTTGCTGAAGACGTACTTTTAAAAAAAGGCAAAGTCATTTTCTTCTTAAATTTTACTTGCATATAAATTTATATAATTTCTTTTATTTCAATTTTCATTTCCGCATTGGTTTGTAAAATGAAAGGAAACCAAAATGGTACGTTGCATCTTCGTACTTTTTGGAAACTGCTGTTTCAATTTTTATGAAAAATATATAAAAGTAATTAATTGAACATTTCAATTTAAACCAAAGTGTGAAATTATAAATTATTTTGTGAATGCATTAGCGGAAGGCAACTCATACATGGAACCTCTCATTGAAAGAATCATAAAAAAATTAGTTGCAGTATAAACAGGCTAAAATTGTGTGAACTAGCAGATGTATGAATAGCAATAAGCAGGTATTCATTTTAACGAATTAAAAGCGAATCAATTTTAACTTTTTCGTTGCCAAAATTTTTCTAGGTATTTTTGGATTTAGCAGCATTTGTAACTAGTTTTAAAAAAGCGTTGTCGGTTATTAATTTTAATCGCAGCTGTGATGGAGTTATGTCTAGATCGAGTAGAGAGAATTGCATTAGTTAATACATATTAATCACAGCATTCAATACTTAGGATAATGAATATCGCAACGATCAATTCAAATATATAGAAAGGCCATTTCTGAAGCACACAATTTTGGTAAGTACAATCCAAATACTTATCTATATTTTATTTTTAAGAATATATTTACAAAAAACCTTTGAGAACTGCAATGAGCTGTATTTCGATAGCAATTTTCAAATCTACAGTGCCGATAAACTTTGGCCACGATTGAGATCAAGATTAAATTTAATATATACATTAAGATTAAGATATTGATAGAGAATCAAATTGAGGTTGAGGCTTAGATCTCATTTAATTTTTCATTTATTAATCAAATCATTAGTCAAATAAAATCAAAAGAAAGATCTTTAATAATAGTAATATTAATAATAGATTGGCGCTTACACATATGTTAGTGTTTGGCCGAGCTTCTCCTCCGATTTGTGGCGTGCGCCTTGATGTCACACAAATGGGAGGGACCTACAGTTTTACGCCGACTCCAAACGGCAATTGTATTTTTATGAGAAACTATTGCCTGCCGAGGGACGACCGCTTTTAAGAAAAAAACCTTTTTTCTAAATTTTTTTTTTGCGATATTGCATTGGCCAGGGCTTGAACCCAGGCGCTGCGGAGTGGAAGCGCGCACTGCTTACCACCACACTACAGCGACCGCATGTCATCTTCAATAGCGCAACAAAATATGCATAATAGTACATGATCGTTCTTGTTAAATATTTGCAAGGTTTTTAAAGTTAAACACGGCTGCAAAGTCGTGTTGATTTTTAATAGTTTTTTTTTTTTGCTGATGGCGTTCGCAGTTTTTTTTTTCATATAATAAGTGCAATTATAAAAACTGGCGTTGTTTTTTTTTTTTTAATTGTCTTTGCAAACGGTCTTGTGCATTTTCTCCCATAAGAAATTCATGCTTGTACGCAAAAAAAAAGTAAAAAGCCGTCATCAAAAAAAAATCTCAAAAATCAACGCATTATCTTCATTTACTTTCGCTCCTTTTATGCTGATGCTCCTCGTTTTTTCTCATGCTCTTGAGGATGTGGTTAAAATTGCTCATCTCTTTCTGAAAACAATAATTTGTAGATATTGTTTGGTGTCAAGGCAAACACGAAAGTATAATAAAGTTTATTCGAGTATACTCCATCCATATTGAAATCAAGAATCAGTGAAAAAGGTCTGGATGGGAATAGAAAAACCTAATACTTTTTTAATTAAGTTGTTAGGAAGGCCAGCAAGCTTGTTTTCTGAACGTGAACTAATGGGCCCACATAGAGTATTGTGTCCACTTTAGCCATCACTCACGCAGAGTACGACCATTGATTAGGATGTCTAAGCCAAGCACTGGGCTACTGATGGGTACTGGATTATTGGCCTATGGCTTAGATTTGGAGCTTCGCTTTAAGGATAAAAGAGTAGAATGCGTCATGCAATTCTGGAGACCATTTAAACAAAGTTTTAGTCTCAATTCGTCAAAAGATTGATATAATTTTGCGATAGCATTGGGTATCGTAAGTAGCCTCTTTGGCTAACCATTATTAAGAGGAGACCCTCTATCCTTGCCTAGCATTGTCGTTGATGAGGTCGTGCCAAACCGCGTTTTGATTAGAAACTTACTATGCAGATTTACCTGAATATTTATCGATGATCCGACATACAGGCGGCAGTTGGGGAGAAGGTTCAATTACCCAAGCTAGTTGATGGGACACGATTTACTTTGCTTGTAGAATATGTAACACTGGCTACTGATAGTTGCTGTTTTTGTTATAGCGGGTCCAACAACTCCGCCTAGATCGGTTAGTCCCTCAATAGAGGTTGTCAAGCTCTACAAACGGTAGACCCAGGAAGCGTGCAGCTTCGATGGGGTCTCTCCATAAGGACAGAGGCGTTAGCAAGGTGTGGTTCAGTGGGCATGCGAAGAGATGTTAGTTGGACTGGCTTTAGAGTGCGGTTACGCATGGCTTACGCAAAGTATTTGAAGGGGAGTAAATGTTATGACCAACCTCTTAGCCCTTATCTGCGGAGGAATTTAAACTCTTTCAAATAGCTGGTAACAGGGCTTTTAAGGAAGAAAATAATTTTCAGCTGTTTCGCAGTTTACTATACCATAAAACAAGAACCCGATTACTTCTACCCAGCCGCTATTTAACCATTCACTGGCCGACGTTTGCATCTCTACTACTCAATCGATGGGAACACCAAAGCGGCGTTTGCCGGTTTCCCTTACCCGTTTCGGTGAGCTAGCTAGCAATAAAGCAACAACAAAAACATCGGAGGTAGCAACGCCAAACTGTTGATTTTGAGCACACGGCTATCAAACCAAACAACAACAACAGCTCTAAACTTAACAATGATCATGAAGCCGGGTGTTCAAAGCCACGAGCACCACACTCTCAATCAACACACGAACAGCAATGCGATGACTATGATAACGGACGGAGAGGGTGTCACATCGGGCAAATTTGATGAGCACTGCTGGTAGCAACTGATGAGAATCGGTTCAGTGCCAAAGTCAGTCTGCGTTTACCTGTCGTCGGTTGAGGTTGTGCGAAACGGATTAGTTCGAGGCTCAATAACACAGCAAAGTGGAAAGGTAACTTGAGAAGAAAAAAAAAGATAGTAACAAGTGCACATACAAAGAAACACACAGTGGCGCTATGTATAGAAAATGGCTAAAAGTGCAGTGTAGTGTGGAGAGAATGTGAAAAGAAGGTGTTTGTGTGTGTGTGTGGGGCGGAGAAAAAAACGGTTAGTGTGGCTGAAAAAAATATAAAGAAAATACTATAGTAAAGTCGGTTATATGTACATGAATACATATGTACGCTATTCCACAAAAAAGGGAGAGAAAATTGTAAAGCAGTTAAGATACATTTGTATGCGTTGTAGCTTAATGATACTACAAAGCTAATAGCATCGTTGTTGTTGTTGTACAACATTTATTGCTGATACACGTCGTTCTACAACGTTTTATTGTATTAATTTAATATCTTCTTGGAGGCTTTAAATTGAATGAATAAAGAAATGCAAATTAAAAAATACACTTCATGTAGAAATACAAAAACCAAAAATTATAAAGAATAAATTTATGGAAAGTTGTGTGTTTAAATGAGTGTTAAACTTTCGTTCCTTTAAAATAAAAGAAAGAATTCTTTATATAGCCAGTCGAAAAAAAAGTAAAGAGAAATAAAAATTTTAAATTTACATAATAAACTTGTGAAATGCAGACGCAAACGAACTTTTGTGATGCCCACTTTGCTGAGAGAAGCTGGTTGAGGCAAACAAAGCGGGCATATGTTGACTGATTGAGACTTACCAACTATGGCAGCTGGTCCCAACTTGGTTACCAGTCATGTATGTTGACCCAATTTATATAACCTGTTCCTGTACATACGCATAACGGACGACAATCTTCCAGTTCTCACTGGACGCATTAGGAGAAGGTGCAAAAAAGTTATGTTATCTTTTTAAATGTACACATTTTAAGCTAAAAACTTGTAATATCAGCAAGGTGACCCAAAAAATTGTGATTCGAATTTGCGAATGTGGAAATTGGGAACTAAAAAGAGTCAAACGCGCGACGTGCAAATTATTTTCAGTGCATTCACCTTTAGAATAAACAGAAAGAACTAAGCAATAGTCGTATTAAATACTAGAAGACAAAAAAAAAAATTATAAAAAGGCAACTATGATGGTAACCAGCACCAGCGGCATTGGCAAAACCAAAACCAAAAGCAAACGCAACAAGACAAAGTTGCGGTGAAAATCTTCACGTCGACGAAGAGACCGACCGACCATAGTTGAGGAAGAAGAAACTAGTAAATAGTGGAAGAAGTGTTGGCAACAGCAGCAGCAAAAGCAAAAGCCACATAAAAGAATTACATATAAGAAAAAAATAGTAAAATAAAAGCCGCACATTAGCGGCAGACAGCAGAGGAATAGCGAGCAAGTCGCGACTGCAGTCAGCCATTCAATCAGCCAACCAGCGGGGTGTGGCGGTAACATAAGACGGAGGAGGCAGCAACAAAAGCAAACTTTGTAACATAGGAAGAAAAGTATAAAAGTATGCTGCAAAGTTTGACTAGTTGTCTTGCGGCTGCCAGCTTGAGCTAGGCTTAGAATAGAGATTAGCGTTAGAGTTGGATAAGAAGATCGCGCGCTAAAGCAAAATCACTGTTGATAACGGAAATCAGCTCAACAAAGTGAGTAAGCGCTCGGATAAGCTCGCTACACGCACTTCTAATCAAAACAAAATGCAGCCACGATCGTGTGCACCTCAAACTCGCTTTGCAAAATAAGCAAAAACATAAAATTGCTTTCCTAGCAAAATTTGCATTTCAAATTTTCTGCGCTAAAGTCACAACTCTGCCGCTATTTTATGCTTGTTGTAGTTGTGTTTTTTTTTTTTTTTTTTTTTTTTTTTTTTCATTATTACATTCCTACGCATGCGCACATGCCCACCGCACACTTAACAGTTCACATTCAGGTACAGGTGCAGCTGCCGTCTACCATCAATTGAGCTTGTGTACTTGTACTAGGAATGCAGCAGCAGAAAACGGCAGTGGAAAAGATGTAGCAAACAATAAAAACAACAACAACTAAGCTGCCTGCATCAGCTAAAGAGGTGCAACTCGGCATTGTTTGCTGTTTCGTTGCGCCCGTTCTTCGTCGTGATTGTGCCACAACGGGATTCATGCCATAATTGTGCGCTCGTTCCTCAATGGTGGCAAGCGTGTACACAAATATGTACTTACATGGACTCACATACTCGCGAAAAGATATGCGATTCACGATCGCTGTGGGTTGGTATTGTTTGCTGCTGCTTTTGTTCTTGTTGTTGTTTTTGCA